AATTATGTCTTTTATCTTATTATATAAAGACTTTTACTATAAATGATTATTTATAGGTTTCATAACTAGTGAGAATTGGATATCGCTTGATATCAATTCGAGTTAATTAATTTCAATATCATGACAAACGAGCCATCGGCGAGTTTATTATTATTATTTAAATCAAATAACGAGGTTTTATATCAAGCGATATCACATTCTCACGAGATTTTGAAACCTATTTCTCTTATGGTCCACACACTCTTTGTGTTAAATTAAGAATTCCGCGAATCGTTGATCTATTCTCTTGAACATAACAGTTTGACGTCAAATGTTCTGTTCCGGCGTCTAATTTTAACATCAGACATCTTAAAAATGTTTGCACGCTTCAGAATGTAATAAAATTAGACAAAAATAAGATTTTCAGGTGAAAAGTGTGAGTGTTTAGTATGTTATTGAAAAAATCTACATATGTCTGTTGAAATGGACGAAATGTACATCGTCTTAACCTTTGAAAGTCTTCAATAACCTAACGAATAGCCAATGGAAATGTCGTGATATTGTCTCATGATGCTAGATAAGCTAATCAGATTAACGCAGTTTTAGTATCCCTTTTTCGTATCACACTCCGTACAGTTTGATACGAGTCAAATCTCGTCATGCAAAAAAATAGATAACATGTCAAAACAACAAGAGAATAAGTGTTTAAAACTCAGATGATCAAACTTTTATGAAATGATATGTAGTAAATTTACATAATTTTATATAGCAACCTTTAACCTGAAAAATGCTTCGTGACCACTGCTTTTGTATATATTTAAGAAAAAAGTATAATATAATCAAACTACATTTTGACAAATAAAGAAAAAGTTCAATTGATTTTAATTTAGACCGCCAATCTACCAAAACATTAGTACGAAACAGAACTTACGTGAAGCCATGTTGACAGTGAAAATTTTAAAACATTCTCAATTATCCCAATACACATATGGCTTTCCTAATCAAAAGTTAGTTTTAAGCGTCTTTGATAACCTTTTAAAACTATAATACGATTCTATAATTTCTAATTTATAGGTCATTCTTTTAAATCACCGGTCCAGAATAAATGGTCAGTTAACGGATTTGTTACATAATTATATCAGTTAATTCCACTTAAAAATATCAATAAATTTAAATTGTTAATATTACAGGCATATTTCTCATGTGAAAACCAATGATTTGCGAAATCTCAGCACAAATAGTCACGTGATATAAAAGCATACTGATATATTAAATTTCGTGCAGAATTTTTTACATATGATATATGTTTGTTGATATAAGTTTCAGGTTCTTACAACATTTTTAAAATTCGTTTTTCTTTGTATGCCATAGAAAAAAGTATAACAAAAATACCGAAGATTTACTTCACTTTAAATGTTTAATTGTTATCTAATTGATGTTATTTATATGTAATCAATTGTTTGTAGTATAACTTGATTGTACAGCTTGTCACTAGACGCCATACTTCAGTTAAATACTTTCTATAAATTATATATGTTTTAAAAATAGATATGATTAACTGCAAACAAATGATTATGTAGATTTATACATATTATAATTTAAAATTTGAACTGTTTTGCTATTAGACAATACATGGTCAATTGATAATGTGGCTTACTATCCGTTTTATCAGACATATTAGATAAATGTTTACAATTGACAATTGAGAGTCGAGAGTCTAAAATTGAGACACTTAAATAAAGGATCATCCCAAAAGTATGAATTTTATAATTAGCAGTACATTACCAGCTTATATAATAATTGTAATAGCTAATAGGTGTTAGCAAACAATTGGTTATTAATATCATTCCGTATTTTCTAAGTAAACATGATTTGTGTTTATTTGCTTGGTTGGTTGATTAAATGTTTGCATTTGCGTATATCAAGTGACAAGTTCTACATATCGATGGGTTGGTTGGTCGCTGGGTGTATTAGTTGATTGATTAATGGAATGATTTATTGATTGATTTGTTGACAGTTTGCATAACGTAAAGAGAAACATATTTCATATTGACTCATTCATTAATTGACTTTTTGTATGACGTCTAATAACGAATATCTAACAAGCATTCTTTACTCAGATACATGTCACCATATTAAATGCTCCCTCTCCTACAACAGAGAGATAAAACGGGGACAACGTTAACTTCCTCTGTATTTCTGAGCATCTGAGATCACTTCCGGTTTCTGTTTGGGGTTCCTGTTGCTCAGTCTTTAGTTTTCTATGCTGTTTTTAGTATACTTTTGTTTGACGTAGTGTGTTTTTATTCTTTCTTCTTTTTTTTTTCCTTGGCGTTGTAAATTTTTCGTCCACTTATTAGTTTCAATATCATTTTGGTATCTTCCGCCTCTCTTTTTAAATACAGGCCTCTCTTTAAAGAACAAACGAAAAAGAAAAGACGATAGAATGATCAGATAAATATAGACCCGTTGAACAACCAAAAACGAAAGTTCAGATCAAGGTCGGATTCTAATTACAATGAAAACAAAATAGACACACAACACATAAACAAAACATAAATTCCGATGATCCCTAGAAAAAAGAAAATTTATGAAAGGGGAGAGGAAAGGAGTGTTTAGTTGTTGTATGTTCCTAGAAATGCCATGTAATAGATACAAATAAACATCTTGCACTGATCTGAAAACCTATAATTTCAGGAGTACCGAGTCCTCCTTATTTTCTCGTTTGTTCCTAGGAACCCAATGCCGTATAGTTTGTTTAGATTAATTGGTTTCTGGCATGTCTCTTTATTTAGAGGAGGGACATTTACCATTCTTCGAGTATATAATATGCGTTTTATATTTGGCACTGGACATCACAGTAACAATCATTGAATAAAACCATCATTATTGAATAAATAAAGGCAACAGTAGTATACTGCTGTTCAATAGTCATAATTCGATTAAGAAAAACAAAACCGGGTAACAAACGAAAACCGAGGGAAACATATCAACTATAAGAGGAAAACTCGGCACAACAGAAACTTTTCTAAGCATTTTGCAACTATCATTTAATCAATAAATCATTCACCTAGCAAACGAACCAAGCCACTCAATCGATTAATGAACGAAAACTCGTCATATATGACATAATGCAAAATTATTCAATTAACCTACCAAAATTGTACCAACCAACTAATTCGTATGTAAAACCTTTATTTGATGTTATGGAAAATTTTATCACCAACCATTCAAAAAATAATCATCTTTGGGTGGAAAGACTTCACTAACATGATTATTATATTCATGTTAAAAAAACTATTGGTGTACCGAGTAAATCAGTAATGACATTAATACTTTAGCGATGATTCTTTATGCATATGTCTCAACTATAGACTTGTGACTGTCAATTGTCAATTGTAATCATTTATCTAACAAGTCTAATAAAAGGATTAAATATCACATTTAACGTATAACTTTAGTTTGGTTAATTCGATATCATATACAAATAAAATTAAAACGTACTGCGTATTATCTCATACCAGTGCATTCTAAGCCTATTTGACTGGCTGAATAAGTGTTTCTCGTTTCTAGTTTTTTTATATAGATAAGACCGTTGGCTTTCCTGTTTGAATTGTTTTATACAAGTATTTTTGGGGCCCTTTATAGCTTGCTGTTCAGTGTGAGCCAAGGCTCCGTGTTGAAGGCCGTACTTTGACATATAATTGTTTACGATTTACACATTGTGACTTGGATGGATAGTTGTCTCATTGGCACTCATACCACATCTTCTAATCATACTAAACAAAACTTAGTGAAATCGGTTTCATTACATTAACTTATTATGTTTGTTTTGATTGCTCACCCCATTTTGTCAATATAACGGAACTAGAAACATACAAGTGGGCGGTTTAGCTAGATGTAAAACCAGGTTTAACCCACTACTTTCACTTCGGAAAATTACTGTATCAAGTCAGGAATTTGACTCTTATTTTCCACGAGTTCCGTTTCATAATGTTTGATTTTGTTAGATTTTGTTGACTTCCCCTTTAAATTTACCTTGGAGTTTGATATTTTAGTTATACTTTTTTTCTCAACATTGAAAATATTTAACCTTTTCAAGTGATCCGCATAAATGTATATATTGCTCTCCTTATTAAAAGTTAGTTTTAAATGTCGTCTTAAAACTATAATACGATTTTGATTTATAGTTCATTATTTAAAATCATTTGTCCAAAACAAATGGTCATTTTAACGGATTTGTTACAAACTTAAGCATATAATTTCTTCCCACTAAAGATCATAATAAATCTGCATTAATTAGATTATTTTATATATTCATTATGTGGACATAATGCTCAAAACAATGATTAGCGCAATATAAGCGCAGATAGTCATGCGATAAATTCGAGCGATTATAGATCTCGTGTGGAATTATGAACAAAAAATAATAGATATTATTTTGTTCAAATATTATCTACACATTTATGCAATTGTCATCAGTTCGAAAGAAATTAATATATCATATTCTTTGAATTTTATTGTTTTTGTTTGCAATGGACATATCTTGTCAGGAATGGTTTTATGCTAAACATGGAAGCTGTAAAAAAAAATGAATGGTGGCAATAGCATAAAAACAAGGAGATAAGTTATAATTGCAAATGAGACAACTATCCACCAGAGACCAAATGACGTATATGTTGCCTTTTTGTGTGACTACACAGTTGTTCAAAGATTGCCGACAGAGCGTTTACATATAAATACACTTATGTGCAGCATAAGTGACTTTATTGTACAATGAAAGATTGTAACTTTTAATTGTATTAAGTCTTTTGATATCATGTTTTGTAAATGTTAGAAATATGTAGAAAATAGTTTTGTACAGTACATAGGTGTTTATCTGACTTGAAACTCTTAGGAATTTTGTAATTGATATGGGGGCGCTACTTCAAGCACATGTTTTAATATGCAGCCTCTTTTTCAAATAGCTGCCGAAGGAAGAACACGTACAGAAATTTGGTGACACTCAATTTCATAAAAAGTTTTTGTGCAAAAACCGACATATCCAGTGCATTTCGAATTATAAACATAAAAGAATCACAATACAAACTATTTGGCTTCATGTGGGAGGGGAAATACTATTACGATAAAAATCTGCAAATGGGTTGTAGTTCTAGTTGTCAAATTTTTGAAAATTTTAGCACAGCCATTGAATGGATCGCAAAAAATAAAGTACTTATTCCAAACATAGTGCATATTTTAGATGATTTTATGATAGTAGACAAAACCGAAGATGGGTGTAAGAAAAAATTAGAACGTTTTCTTGCAATTTGTAAAGATATGGGTATACCAATTTCTAAGGAAAAAACATTCCAGCCATCCCAGGTTATGAGTTTTGTTGGTTACGAAATAGACACTAGGTTGATGGAAGTTAGACTTCCAATTGATAAGCTTGATAAATGTCACAATCTTTTAACCGTAGTGTTACAAAAAGAAAAAATTACATTGAGGGAACTTCAATCTATCATTGGTACACTCAACTTTGCTTGTGCAGTTGTCATCCCAGGAAGGGCATTTCTGAGAAGACTAATAGACTTAACAATTGGGGTCAAAAAATCCTTTCATAGAATACAAATGACAAAATCAGTTAAGCAAGATCTAAATACATGGCAAAATTTTTTAAAGAATTTTAATGGGAAGTCATTGATTTTATCAGACCGTTGGTTAACATCTGATCAGCTACATTTGTTTACAGATGCCTCTGGTACATACGGTTATGGTGCTTTGTTTGGTTCACAGTGGTTCTTAGGCAAATGGGACACAAAATGGCAAAAACAAAATATTGCCTTTTTAGAGCTATATCCCATAGTCTTGGCAGTTGAAATATGGGGCCACCGATTTGAAAACCAGTGCATATATTTTCATACAGACAATATAGCTTTAGTGTCTGTAATTAATAAACAAACATCTAAAGATGCGTTAATTATGTTCCTAATAAGGAGACTAGTTCTACACTGCTTGAGAAACAATGTGAAATTTAAGGCAAAACACATATATGGTTCAAAAAATGTTTTGGCAGATGCACTTTCTCGTCAACAGGTACAGAAATTTCATCGGTTAGCACCATGGGCAGACACTGTTCCCAAACCAGTTCCCAATCTACCAGATTTGCCAAGCTACAGAAACCCTTAAATAAAATTTTTAACAACATCTTATCTGAATCCTCACAAAAAAACTTATAGAAGAGCAATTATCCACTATAAGAGTTTTGCTGAAGAATATGGCATTAGATTTCAGTTACCACTTACTAGTTCAGATCTCATACTATTTATAGCACATTTGAAATACAAAGATCTTGCATCAAGTTCTATCTCAACATACATTTCAGCAATTGGTTTTACACACAAAATTAATAATTGGCCTGATCCAACTGATTCATTCATTATTGATAAGGTACTGAAATCAGTGCATAAGGGAAGAAATCAAGATATGAGACTTCCAATTACTAGTACAATTTTGAATCAATTAATTGATGCATTAAAACAGACAATATCTAATAGATATGATCAAATTCTATTCAAAGCAATGTTCACCCTAGCATACCATGCTCTTTTAAGAATTGGTGAGATGACAGTCAACAACAAAAATTACAATCATGTTATTAGTTTAAGTCAAACTGTTGTGTTACACGAAAAATTAAGTATCAGTTTCATGGACTTCAAACATTCAAATGGAAAACAATTCCATTTAGAAATAGCTAAGAATAAAAATAACAATATTTGTGCAGTAACGGCACTTACTAGTTACTTAACTTTGAGAACAAACACAACGGGTCCACTATTCCTCAACTCCAGTGGAGAAGCTGTTTCTAGACAATTATTCCAACATGCTCTGAATGGTGCTTTGAACTTTTGTGGGCTCAGCAGAGCATATTACAAACCTCATAGTTTCAGGATAGGCTTTGCTACCGACGCAAGTGCAAAAGGATTGTCCACAGAAACCATAAGAAATTTAGGTAGATGGAAATCCGATGCATTCAAATTATATATTAGACAATCAGGTCAAATTTCTAACCTTTAGTCATGTTTATCTGTCTCACAACTGATCATGTAATGACGTAATTTGTGAATGAATTACTGCCGTTTATTATTTTATATTTTGTACAGGGCTTGTGGGTCACAGCTCATTACATATCACAAACAGAATAACAGTTCATATTATATGGAAACGGTGGACAATTGGGAAAGGTGAATTATGACGCTTATTTAAGCTGATACAAGGACAACCTAAAACCAGGAATTCATCCGTTTACCATTGAAATGACCAAATTTTACTGAGAAGTAATTGACAGAAAACAGCTTGCCAGGACTGGAATCTTAAAATCCCCCATTTACATGTAGTAATATTTATCAGTAAACTTATAACAATATTTAAGGAAATACAGTTATCTGAAAGGGAAAATAGGTATTAATACAATTATTGAATGCATGTTTTTGCTGTAAGAATTTAGTCAATAGTAAACAAACTTGGTCTGTTATTGCATCAAGTAAAAATATTTGTTTGACACAATGTCTGTAAATTGTGTCTTTTTAGTATATTTTGGTTTGTATCAAGTAGATACATGGTTAGGACACAATGTCTGTAAATTGTGTCTTTTTAGTATATTTTGGTTTGTATCAAGTAGATACATTGATAGGACACAATGTCTGTAAATTGTGTCTTTTTAGTATATTTTAGTTTGCATCAAGTAGATACATTGATAGGACACAATGTCTGTAAATTGTGTCTTCTTAGTATATTTTGGTTTGTATCAAGTAGATACATTGATAGGACACAATGTCTGTAAATTGTGTCTTTTTAGTATATTTTGGTTTGTATCAAGTAGATACATTGATAGGACACAATGTCTGTAAATTGTGTCTTTTAGTATATTTTAGTTTGTATCAAGTAGATACATTGATAGGACACAATGTCTGTAAATTGTGTCTTTTTAGTATATTTTAGTTTGTATCAAGTAGATACATTGATAGGACACAATGTCTGTAAATTGTGTCTTTTTAGTATATTTGGTTTGTATCAAGTAGATACATGGTTAGGACACAATGTCTGTAAATTGTGTCTCTTTAGTTTATGATTGGTTGTATAAAGTAGATACGTAGGTAGGACACAATGTCTGTAAATTGTGTCTTTTAGGATAAAGGACATTCGTGGGACTCAATGTCTGTATATTGTGTATTTTTAGTATATACATTTGTTGCATAATTTTTTACTTGTTTATAAACAGTACATAGAATCGTAAGTTTTATCATTTGCATAAGTAGGATGATGGGTGATGCAGGTTTACTTTAGGGCAGCGTTTTCAGCTCCATAAGAGCTTCATACGTCATGGCGGTATCTGCTCCCAAAAGTTGAGATGTTACACTATTATTAACAAATTTATAGTCAAGGGGAGATAACTCTAAATTGATTGACTTTTCAAAAATTTCAATTTTAATAATTGATGACATTTGTCTTTTCACTTATTACATAATATGCTTATTGGTTCAGATTGTAATGAAAGTATTGTATATTTAAATTCACAATTGGTACTTATAATTGTAGTGTATGCAAATTTTATACATGTATCTTTTGATATGATTGATTTTGAAAAATAAACTGTCACATCTGTGGCCTGCATCATCATAACATGTGTTAGTTTTTATTTTGACTTTAGCGGACCATAAATACACTTATGTGCAGCATAAGTGACTTTATGGTACAATGAAAGATTGTAACTTTTAATTGTATTAAGTCTTTTGATATCATGTTTTGTAAATGTTAGAAATATTAGAAATATGTAGAAAATAGTTTTGTACAGTACATAGGTGTTTATCTGACTTGAAACTCTTAGGAATTTTGTAATTGATATGGGGGCGCTACTTCAAGCACATGTTTTAATATGCAGCCTCTTTTTCAAATAGCTGCCGAAGGAAGAACACGTACAGAAATTTGGTGACACTCAATTTCATAAAATATTTTAATCCCCTCCTCCTTCCCCTACTTCCACCTTGAAAAGAGTTTCTTTCATTGTTAAAAGGTGACGAAACGAGGCGGTATCTGCTCCCAAAAGTTGAGATGTTACACTATTATTAACAAATTTATAGTCAAGGGGAGATAACTCTAAATTGATTGACTTTTCAAAAATTTCAATTTTAATAATTGATGACATTTGTCTTTTCACTTATTACATAATATGCTTATTGGTTCAGATTGTAATGAAAGTATTGTATATTTAAATTCACAATTGGTACTTATAATTGTAGTGTATGCAAATTTTATGCATGTATCTTTTGATATGATTGATTTTGAAACATAAACTGTCACATCTGTGGCCTGCATCATCATAACATGTGTTAGTTTTTATTTTGACTTTAGCGGACCATAAAGATAGTAGATAAAGCGTGTACGTCAACGAGACAGCACCCCAATGACATAAATAACCCCAAAAATCCATAGGCAAGATGGATTCATAAACAATGGATAGGTATCTATACATGGAATTTGCTCTTTGAGTAAGTTTATTTTACTTTGCTTAAAGTTTAAAATTGAGAATGGAAATGGAGAATGTGCCAAAGAGACAACAACCCGACCAAAGAGCTGAAAACAGCCGAAGGCCACCAATTGGTCTTCAACACACCGAGAAAATCCTGCACCCGGAGGCGGCTTTCAGCTGGTCCTTAAACAAAAATGTGTAATAGTTCAATGCAAATGGACGTCACACTAAACTCCAAAACATATAAATGAACTAAAATTAAAAAACAAACAAAACTAGTAAAGGCCAGAGGCTCCTGACTTGGGACAGGCGCAAAAATGCGGTGGGGTTAAACATGTTTATGAGATCTCAACCCTCTCCCTATACCTCTAGCCAATGTAGAAAAGTAAACGCATAACAATACGCACATTAAAATTCAGTTCAAGAAAAGTCCGAGTCTGATGTCAGAAGATGTAACCAAAGAAAATAAAAAAAATGACAATAATACATAAATAACAACAGACTACTAGCAGTTAACTGACATGCCAGCTCCAGACTTCAATTAAACTGATTGAAAGATTATGTCTTCATCATATGAATATCAGGCACAATCCGTCCCGTTAGGGGTTTAGTATCATACCATCATAACATATATGAGAAGAACATAACCCGTGTCATGCCAACAACTGGTTTTTAAATAAATGTGTTTAGTTCCGATGTAAAGACCCTATAAGTGAATCAATATTAACGCCAAAATATGCAATCTTTTATGACCTGACAACAGTATCGTAACTATATCCCTTCTTAATAAGTCTATTTAAAGGTTTTGTTAGCTTCAGAGGTGAATACTGACATTGTTGTGCTTTATAAAGAATATTTCCATAAAAAATTGGATGTGAAATACCTGAACGTATAAGAAGTCTGCATGTTGAGCTATATTTACGAATGATTTCCTTATACCGATGATAAAATTTAGTAAATGTTTTGACTAGTTTGTGATATCAAAAACCCTGGTGTAATAATTTTTCAGTAATACATAAATTTCTCTCGTTAAAATCTAAAACATTGTTACATACACGAGCGAATCGAACAAGTTGAGATATATAAACACCGTAAGATGGTGACAAGGGAACGTCACCATCTAAAAATGGATAATTAACGATAGGAAATGAAAAATCATCTCTTTTATCATATATTTTAGTATTAAGCTTTCCGTTAATGATATAGATATCAAGATCGAGGAAAGGGCAGTGGTCATTGTTAGTATTAGCTTTATTTAAAGTAAGTTCAACAGGATAAATTTCTTTAGTATACATACTGAAGTCGCCATTATTGAGAGCCAAAATATCATTCAAATATCTAAAAGTATTATTGAATTTGTGTATCAGATGTTGTTTCGATGGGTCTTTGCTGATTTTTGTCATAAATTGTAACTCATAGCAATACAAAAAAGGTCCGCAATAAGTGGTGCACAGTTAGTCCCCATTGGAATTCCGATAACCTGACGATATACGGAATCTCCAAATCGAACAAAAATGTTATCTAGTAAAAATTCAAGGGCATATATAGTATCAAAGCATGTCCAATTGACATAGTTTTTTGTTTATTGCTACTAAAAAATGACATAAAAGAGTTTGAACATATATATTCACATTCTGACTTTTTAAATGCCCATTTAATTAGGTGTGTGAATTTTTTCTTAATGAGAATGTGAGGCAATGTGGTATATAGGGTAGAAAAATCAAAACTTTGAACAGATTCAAAATCACCAATATATGCATGCAATTTATCAAGTACTTCCAACGAGTTCTTGACACTCCAAAAGTAATTAATTCCACTATTTTCGAAGGCCTTATTTGAACAATTTATTATCAGGTTTTTGATTGTACCAAGTGTACTGGTAGGAAGAATAGACAATTTAGTAGTGGAACAATGGCTTGAAGACGAAATGAATCTATATGTGTAAGGTGTTTTGTGTAGCTTCGGAAGCCAATACAAAGTTGGGACTTTCATTGTATTTGGTTCTGCTTGTAAAGCGGTAGCTAAAATTTTATGTTTGTTACAAATGTCGTTTTCTGAAAATGGAGTCAGTTGGAATGTTGGTGAATTGGTGATTTCTTTTTTCAGAACCTCAATGTAAAATTTACGTCAAACAATAATAATATTATTAGCAGCTTTATCGGCCGGGACAAAAACAAATTCCTTGGCTAGTTCTTTTAGTTTATGTTTGATACGAGAAATAGGTTTATTGTGGTTATTGATAAGAGTAAAATGTTCTTTAAAATGTTGAATACGTATATCAACTATGTTCATTACTGAATTAAAAAAAGAGTCCAAAGATTTTTTGTCAGCTTTTTCCCGTTTTATCCATTTCAAACAGTAAGTATGGAGTGAGTCGTGGATGATATTACGACACTCATTCCAATTAATAATTGACGGGGGACGATATTTAGGTCCTTTACTGAGGAATGATTTTAACTCTCGGTCTTGAACGATGTTAAGATCTCCTGTTATAACATGGGAAATGGGTCCATAAATGTATTCGGAATTACTGCAATTACATGAAGTAGGTGTATTTTCACTGATATTAACATCTTTACACAATTGGCTATAATTAAACACAAATTTCCAGGTAGATTTCTTGTAAATATAACAAATAAGAGGGAGCTCAGTATTATCAAAATATCCCGGAATTTGTTCTTTAACAGAATGGTCGTTAAAAATACCGGCAATATTTACAAAATCAAAACCTTTATTGACATACTTTATTTTAATAAACTGTTTTTTATGATTAAAATAAATAAGCATGCAATTTATCAAGTACTTCCAATTTTTAACACTCCAAAAAGTAATTAATGCCACTATTTTCAAAAGCCTTATTTTAACAATTTATTACCAGTTTTTTTTATTGTACTAAGTGTACTAGTAAGTAGAATAGACAGTTTAGTTATATGTATGTGGCTACTATAGATTCAATAGAAAAACAAAGGATAAGGGGAATCCATTGATAACACAAAATCTGTATATGCACAGAAAAAAAACCACACAAAAAAGCAAAGGATCAACGCTTTTATAGCTGCTCTTTTTTTCAAGTATGTATATTTCCAGTATTTACCTCGACATTTATTAGACTATTTACCGGATTTGTAATAACATAAGCAACACGACGGGTGCCACATGTGGAGCAGGATCTGCTTACCCTTCCGGAGCACCTGAGATCACCCCCAGTTTTTGGTGGGATTCGTGTTGCTAAGTCTTTGGTTTTCTATGTTGTGTCATCTGTACTATTATTTGTCTGTTTGTCTTTTTATTTTTGGCCATGGCGTTGTCAGTTTGTTTTCGATCTATGAGTTTGACTGTCCCTCTGGTATCTTTCGTCCCTCTTTTGTATTGGTTGGAGATCTTTGTTAGACCTATTTTGATCTCGAGAAATAATATTAAGAGAAACTGAATATACATTTGCAAATTGATATTAATAGTTTACATTAACGATTTTGACATAAACCTTTCAAAGTGCACTATTACTGAATTACGTGCTCGTTATAGCCTTGTTTTCTTTTAAACCACTTTTGTGTATACAAAATGAAAAAAACACGTTTCATCACGAAAGTTCAAATCCCCCAAAAATCAAAGCCAAGGATGTAAAAATATCTTAACACGTGGAGGAACTACATGAACAAAATGTATCCCAAAGGAATAGCTATAGTATAAGGTGTAGTTTAACTCGGGTGTTTTAACCGTACTGTATAAATAAATGACATCATCGGAGACTAACAGCCCATCAGTATAACAGAAACATCACCTTTTGAAAACCCTATACGAATTGTCTGTTCAATTAAACATTAACTCTAGTGTTTTTGCATGCTATTTAGAGTAGTACAAAATAATATAGTATTGATTTGTTTTAAACCTTTTTTCCGTCCGACAACAGCAAACCTCCCATCACCACAAACGTGTTGTGCAATGTTACGCTTTTTTTTCCAATTTTTAATTTCAATAGAATTTTATGTCAAGACATTATATATTGTCTCATTGGCACTCATACCACATCTTCTTATCTATAGTATGTAATTTTTAATTTGTTCTTTAGAATAGCTCATAAGTTTCGTTATTTCAAATTTTGTATGTCATCCATTGTCATTTACATTGTTTAGGTTAAGTAACGTGGAATAAATTCACTAAATATACCAGGTTTTTAATTTTTTCATATATGCATGTCGTTTATATAAGATTACACAGTTGAATCGAATCAATATAATTGGAAGGTCCAATTAACGAAGAGCATTGCAAACTAAAGGTATACAATATGAAGTAATTTGTCCCAAAATCTGACTTAGGCCAGCTATGCCTCGACGTAGAAAACCTTAGTTTTTTCAATGACTGAAACATTTCACAAACAGAAAATTTTCGCATTAGTAGTATTCAATGTCAGCAAGGTAGTGTTGATAACAGGGCTGGTATACTTTATGTTTATGTTGACCTCAAGATGTCTTTTGTTTTTTTATGTCGTTTGTATGCTGTCTCATCAATAAGCATTTCACATTTTACACTTTAACATTGAATTTTATTTCTAAAGAACGGAGCTATAAAGAACGTTTTGAAGAGCCTAGACAACGTTTAACAACCAAAAAATCTGAAGCAGGAAATGGAATTCGTAGGAAATGTTTTGTTATTGTTTACTTATGAAATGTCCTTAGTATAAATAACTGTGTACAGATATTGCTCTATTCAAAAGCGTTACACAAAATGAAGTTTACCAGTTTGTTCTTATGTTGTGTTGTCACTTACACGACTCTCCCTGGACAGGTGAAAGGAAGAGCACCCGCAAACAAGTTTAACCCCGCTAAATCCAAAGTCTGGAGCCTACAATTCAGG